TCAAAATTCCATCTTGCATAAAGATCCGCAGTCCACTTATAACCTATAATGCAACTAATAAAAACCTCAGTCTATTCATAAGAGTTATTCGGAATATAGGTTCTTCGTATCTATTTGAAAAACCTAAATCGGTATCATAATAGTTTTCAAGCCCTGCCCACAACATCCAATCGCTTTTAAAAAAAATCTAATTTAACATCTGAATAACATCAGTGAGACGCGTGTGTATGTCATGTGTATTTTTTTATCGCTGCAGTCCAGAAACTTTATCGTCGTGGTACGTAAGGATAAATCGGATCGAAACGTAACGCGTCGATTCCACCCCCCGTGACACGCGACCGCGAACGGTTCAGTAATCTCACGCGAACCCCGTCGCCGATACTCGATCCGCGCCGCGAAAGGGCGAAAAAAAGAAAAATAAAAAGAAAACACCGAATCCACGGAAGTTCAGGTGTGCCACGAGGGAAGGGGTCGTCAGGGAGGACGTTCGCAGAACAGGGACAGAGAAACGAGAGTAACGGAGTGCCGTTCAAATTGCGCTGAGTCGCGTCGAGAGAGCACTTAATTCGCGCTTGTCGAGTGATCGCTCTCAATATTCCGGAAAAAAGGGTGGGGGACGTGGCGGGGATGGGAGGAAGAACGATGAGAGGAGAAACACGGAGACGGACACACAGAGAGTCGAGGGAGAGGGCCCCGTAGGGAGAAGGGAGTATGAATAACAGAGGGACAGAAGGAAAAAAAGAAAAGAAAAAAAAAAATAGATAAATGAACGAAGAGTTCCTCGATTGACATTAACGACGACAAAGAGAGAAAGAGACATTATCCAGTTGAGAGGATCAGCGAGATCCTGTGACGCGCGATGTAGCTAGTTAGGCATCGTCGTTTGCGACCGTCGCGTGCCTCTGATGCCCGACGACGCGTCATCGTGTGGTTTCGTTTGATGCAGGTGTAACAACGTGACCCTGGTGAAGGCGATCGGCGAACAGAATAGTTTCGACTGATTCGAAGTCGTGGTTAATGTCACGGGCGTGACGATACTGCTGGGCTGAAGAGGAAGTGGACGAACGAATCGGAGACGTTGGTGTGGGCGCTGCTGACGCGAAAGGAACGGATGAAGACGGGGAAACTATGCTGGCACGTTGCTCAACACCGTTTTCGGTCGAAGGTAAGAGGAAGATCTGTTGGTTTTTTGGTGTTGTTGTTGTTTGGTCCGAGTTATTAGAAAGTCTGGTCGCTTTCGGTGTGATATAACGTTCGATAATGTGGTTTAATGTGATAGGATTGTTACGTACATTAATGGATATAAGGATCGCGTCGTACGGAAAGTTCCGGACGATTTGGAACATAGAATTGCGGTTCAGAATTTGTTGTTTCTACTTTACTTCGTTAAGGCGAGTTTGGACTTTGTCCACACTGAATGGTGTGAAGATGGATTTACACCTTTTCAGTTTGAACGATCATCGCAGATAATTCGTAGGGAAATATTCTTTTCATTTGCATTTCATCCCAATGTGAAGATCCAAAGTGACGAATAAACAAAGTAGAGCGAGTCTCCACTTTTGATGAATTTTGGGGATTCTGGATGAATCATCTGCGATGCACATCCAGAGTGTGGAAGTGTAAATTCACCTTTAACAAATGTAGTTTCTACTTCTTCTTGCAATTTCTGATTTTTTAGGGGTTTTGTTATAACAAAACTCTTATCTTTTTAGCTAGAAATCTTGTTAGGTTTTTCACTCTTCTGTTTTCAGAGGCTTTCTCTAACATGGAATCTATCCAAGAGAGGAAGAAATGATTCTCTTGAAAGTATGATACCTAAAGCGAATAGCATAAAATTTTCCAATCACATTGAGGTAGGGTTTTTCATACTTTTAATGTAACGTGTGACTGAATACTTATTACGTGTATGTCTTACAAAAAGCAGAAATTGAATTCCCACTTATATTCAGTAGAGAATAATGTATATTACGTTAATTACATTAAACGACTTTTTCTTTCGTCGCTGAAAATGGTGTTAAAGACTTTAGTGACTGAAATGGTATGAACTTTTCGGACCTAATATTTAGGACACTTGTCGAATATGCAGTAAATCGTAATAAGGCATTACAAAATTTCTGAAACAGTCTAAAATAAATATTGTCTAAAATAAATATAATTAAATTCCTGAAACAGTCTAAAATAAATATTGTCTAAAATAAATATAATTAAATTTCTGAAACAGTCTAAAATAAATATTGTTTAAAATAAACATAATTAAATTTCTGAAACAGTCTAAAATAAATATTGTTTAGGGGATGTTAAAACTCGATGGACAAGGCTGACGCTATTTAAATGAAATAGCTTACGCTATTTCTGACATAAAGTAATAAAAGTGGTCTAAAGAATATACAATAATAATAATGTGAAATTTCTTCGTACAGACTAGGCGTCCCAACACTTGTGAGCGGTATTTATTTAAGTGTATTTATTGTAATCTAAGCATTCGATTTAAAAATATTTTAATTTGTCCCTCGGTCTCAGATCGACACAGTGGTAAAAAAATTAGTACAACGACGAGGTAAATAGTTAATTTTGCAACTTCTTTAAAATAAAAGTCACGGAGCCTCAATTTATCTACACATAACATCATTTCTTACAAAACGAGGATCCTAACTGTCCAACTTCCATTTTAACTGGGTTTTGTAAGATGATAGTGCACAGATTCCAAATGATATGCATGAAATATTCGATGTAGACAATCAATAATAAAGATATAAATAATTAAAGTTACGCACCTTTAAAATGTACTATGAATATAAGTCAAACTTATCCAAGTATACTTTGCCAACGCAACTTCGATAACTTTCACTTATATTCATAAAGTTTGTAACTACAATTGTTTATATCTTTAACATTATCGAGTGTCTATACTTAATATTTCACATACATATATCATTAGGAACCTGTATACTAGTATCTTAAGGTCGGACAACTAGGGTCCTTCCCTTATTAGAAGAAAAATGTGTCAAATTGATACAAGGGATGGGTGATGGTTAACAAAAATTTATTAGAAGAAATGTTAATTTTTCGATGTAAACGAAATAACGTGCAGTACGCAGGAAAGAAGTTAAAACGAACCTCGGATGTATTTCGTGGGAAATACTACGAGGGACGTTATTATCGGCAGACCGGAAATTATGAAATATCGGCGAATCAGTTATTTAATTTCCGCCAATCACCGCTTCGTTTCATCGTCCAACTCACCCTCCCGTTTCTACAAATAATCTTTTGCGTATCGCGTATAGCTTTGGCTAGTGGTGCCAACGATGAAAATTCACCTTTACAAGCTCAGATGTAACATTTTAATATATTAAGTAGGAACTTCCGGTACATTGAAGTTCCGACATCGCATGAACCGTAGATTTCAATCTCTTCCTCAGTTGGATTTCCGAAACAAATCTGCAATATTTTTTCGATTTATTATTAATTTAATATACTAGAAGTTTTTGAATCATTAATACGTTTTTTTTTAATCTCCTAAATTTTATGAAAATAATTATAAAAGAGTATAATATAACTTATAAAGAGAATAATAATAACAGTATTTATTATTTAACGATCGTACACCGTTCAATAAATTGTTGCATTATCATTTCCTGGCATTAAACTTGGGTTAAGGAAGTATACTTAAATGTCGCTTGATCGTTGTATATGTAAACTGCTGGTATCAAATTGATTTCAAGTTTATAAAGAATATAATTAAAAATTCAAGTCTGTGTTTGAGTGGAATTAACCTGAACGGTGCACGAAGGTTAAATGTAAAAGTGATATCTCTACATTAGTGTTTCAATTATACCTGCAAGGACTGCATAAAAAATGCAAATATTACGAATTGCATTTGAAAATAAAATTACTTTTGTGAATATGTTTCACTTGATTTATAAAAATATACCTTGAAAAAAGTGTATTATTTGAAGAATTATTAAATGTGTTATAGTACTTCTTTATCTATCGTATCAAAATTAAGACATTCCAACTAATTAAAGAAAAACAAACCATTCTACTGTGTTCCCTTGGCCTAAAAAGTTATTCGATCCCTTCACGTTTTAATATGAGCCGTTAATTCGCCAAAGTGCCTAACTCCACAAAAATTAACAAGGAAATTTATTTTAACACTAGAACTACCAGCATTGAATGTATGCTGAGTTAAATTGTGTAACATATTAATACGTGTAATATACAATGCATTATAGCTTAGTATACTATAATATATAAGCAATTCGAGGTTAACATAAATTCCGGTGAAAGTATCTCCAGGATTTCAATAATTGTAAAATAAAAAATCTGGAATTCGGCATTTTTACGGGTTAGGTAGTTCCAGTGTTAAATATTAAGTGTATCAAATATGTAATTCACCATTCTTTTCCAAAAACTGTTAACATAGTTTAAATTTTAAACATTTTTCTAGTCTCTTCATTTTTCAAAATGACCGGCTAACATTGTAGAACGAGGCCAAATATCACACAACCGTCAAAAACTTCTGATTTCCTCGAAAATAAGTGTTGAATTTAACAAAATATAGTGAATAGCTAATTGGTAGGTGCACCTAATACAAAAAGTTAAACACCAACCAAGTGTGCTTTGGGCGTTAAAACTTGCCAAAATTCAAAAACCAGGAATTAATCTCTTAAACCTGTGAACAGTTCCTCTATTAACTCGCAACTTCTACACATAGCTTGCTTTTCCAAACGGGGAAACACCGTGAAAATTGGAAAATTCAGCTTTTCTCTTACAAAGCTACAGGGTATCCTTGTACAAAAATTCACAAAAGCACCAATGGTAATTATAAGCATCACTAGAGAGAGAGAGAGAGAGAGAGAGAGAGAGAGAGAGAGAGAGAGAGAGAAATCATTCCCAAGGAACGACGTTCAAAAAGGTTAGGTCGCGTCTCAATTATCCACGTGCACATTATTTCTAGTAACGAAAACGAAAAAAAAAAATTAAAGAAAAAAAACATTTAATTCGGTACCTGAACGACGTTACCGATCACGCGATCCATTCCAGGAACGATCTAAAACGATCGACGCCCGGCCTAGGCACGGCGAACGTCGCGTGAAATGCTGTGCGTGTGACGACCTTTTTCCTTCCAGGATATATCGAGCGGCTATACGAGGAAACCACGGAGTAATGATCAGAGCTACGCGGTCTGGGCTGTTGACCGCGAATACGAGACAGGCGAGTCGCCCTGGGCACCAGTCCCGGCTCGGCGGTTTCTACCTGACCGGTAATCTACTGCTGCGAGTTCTGCTCAGCCTTTGCTACATCACCGGCACCTGTTCCGGCTGGAGGGACAGAATGCCGCGCGGCACCAAGGAGCTACAGTCAGCGCTCGGCCGACCGTCCCAGCTCGGCTACTGCGATCTGGAGAAGTCCTGCGATTGGCTGTGGAATCAGACGTTGGGATTGAAGCGTGTCACACCGGCGCGTAGTAGATTCGGCCCGAGAACGGACGCCAGCCACTTGGAGTATGGTAAGACAAGGGGATATGCTTAGGGTATACAGTCTGTTCCACGTGAAAAAGTACGGCAGTGTTTCTATCAGACACAATTTACAAGGGAAGGCACGGAAGTGTACCCCTCCGATTTTTATGAAACTTCGTATGTCTGTTAAGCAGTTAATAATAAGGGATACGTATTTTTTTTTATCGGCTGAGACGCGACTTTAAGGGGTGAAACCACCACTCGAAGTTTTGATGTATACATTCTTTTGCGCTGGATTATTTTTTTCCGCACCTTCTATGACTTTAGCTTTTGGTTCTCCTTACCAGCTGTGAGGAGGAGGGGTTTTTGCTAACGATGGACCTAGTTCGACATACTTGTGATACATATATATTTATATATATATATATTTCCTTTGTTTTTAGTGATATGAAGATATGTTCAAAGCACAATTTGAATGGTTCTGAAAGAGGAATACTTATCGTGGAAGAAACAAATTTTTTATGGTCATTTTTTGCGTGTTTTTTTAAGGGCGTCGGTACTTTTTTGAAAGAAAACGTATATATATTTTTCTATTGTGTCTTGTATTAGATGGAAAGATCTATTCGAATATACCTGCGTTATGAACTTAAACACGAAAAAAGTGATCTACTTCAGAAAGATAATACGATAAATTAGACTGCGAATTTTATGCATTTACGTAATATTAAATTGTACAAAATTTAGTACAGTAAATAGCTTCGGAACGTTTATTCAGGTTTCCGTTCTATTTCGAACCTTCTAGAAACCTTTAACAGAGTAAATAAACTTTTTTGTGCGTCCACCTTCGAGAAATTAATCCGTATAATTCTAAATTTGCATAAATATCAGCAGTCTACCGACAAACAATTTAACGTAAATATATCAATTAATAGTCGAAATGTTCGAGTTCCCGGCTGCATTTAAGTAGTAATCGATTACTAAATCGAAAAAGGCGAAACATTCCGCTGAAATAACGTTTAGACTTCATGCATTTATGGAATACAATTTTCGGTATAAATGAGTGTACATTCGTGAGTTAATGTAAAATCACAGAAAATTTGATTTCGCGTATATGCGAACGACAATTAAATTTTCGAAATTCAATTTTATATTTTATGTAGGTCACTTTTTGTGGTACACCGGCGGTGGTAACCTTCAAATGTGGTCCACCACGATTCCACGTACTGGCTCGCGTTGTATGTTGGAATTAGCGTTGTATCAGGTCGAGATGAGGGACGGTCTTATCAATTTGGTCATAATCACAAACAACACAAGCTCAATTGCCGCGGAGAAGCCAGGAAATAATCATGCAAGGTACGTAGTCAATGTTCCAGCACCGATACAAGAAACGAATGATTACCACTAGAAATACCACCATTGAATGTATACTAAATTAAATTGTATAATAATACAGAGAATTAATTGAAATTAATTGGAAATACAGAGTGTAACAAAAATGTTGGAGGACCCGGAAATAAGACATTCGTGAGGCAATTTGGAACAAGATTTTCCTTAGCAAAAATGTTATCCGAGGCTTTGTTAACGAGATATTAACGAAAAACCCCGGCCAATCAGAGCGCGAGTCTGTCAGCCGAGTTTTGTTACTACGCACTGCGATTGGTAGCCAACGTTACCGCGGGAACTCGGCTGGCAGACTCGCGCTCTGATTGGTCGGGGGTTTTTGTTAATATCTCGTTAACAAAGACTCGGATAACATTTTTGCTAAGGAAAAACTTGTTTCAAATTACCTTCCGAGTGTCCCATTTCAGGGATCTGCAACATTTATGTTACACGCTGTATAATACAATCTAGCATAATATAGCATATAATAAAATCTGTACTTCATTAAAAGCTAATATTAACTTCGTCAAAAGCACCATTATAATGTTGGTAATGGTAAAATAGTAAATCTGTAATCCGTCATTTTGACGGGTTTGGTAGTTCTAGCGTTAACCGTTGCAACAACTACTAATAAAATTGCGATGTGTACATTACAGATGGGAAATGACACGGTTCAATTTAGGCGCAATCAGTCAGCCGCATCAACTGTTGCTGGAAATTTCGGTACCTTATCCGAACTCCAGCATTGCTGTTGATAACATTCGTTTGGTCGACTGTTTCCCTGGTAACTGTTATTCTCTTTACAGAGTAAACGCCTGAAAAACATTTTCTATACTCGAATGCATGCATATAGAAAATCATTTTTATTTAATTAACCCTTTAGTTACTGGACAAAATTATGCACCTTTTCGTGGATAGAGTATATCTGTTGTTATTATTAAGTAATATGATAACACTAATGGAATATTTGTTCGCATGTTTCACGACAGTAAACAAAGAAAAAGCTGTTATATTACCGTTACGTCCTGAAAATTCACTTTCTGGAAAGCACGGCAGTAGCTACATAGAAGGTTAAATCTTTCAATATGAAGACCATCAATAATTTTTATTCCTAATAACAAGTAATTTAAGGGATTGGAATACCCATTATTATGTTTCTTTCACGTAGTAAACAGATGAGATCTATTATAATCGCGTGTCGTTCTAAACAATCACTTTTTGGGAAGTCACTATAGTGGCACGTAGTAGCTAGAGGGTTAAATATTTCAATATGAAGACCACCAATAATTTTTGTTCCTAATAACAAGCAATTTAAGGGATTGGAACACCCATTATCACGTTTCTTTCACGTAGTAAACAGTTGAGATCTATTATAATGGCGCGTCGTTCTAAACAATCACTTTTTGGGAAGTCACTATAGTGGCACGTAGTAGCTAGAGGGTTAAATCTTTCAATATGAAGACCATCAATAATTTTTATTCCTAATAACAAGTAATTTAAGGTATTGGAACACCCGTTATCACGTTTCTTTCACGTAGTAAACAGTTGAGATCTATTACAATGGCGCGTCGTTCTAAACAATCACTTTTTAGGAAGTCACTATAGTAGCACCTAGTAGCTAGAGGGTTAAATCTTTAAATATAAATGTTATCCAATAACTTTCATTTCTGATAACAAGCTATTCAAAGAATTTTTCGACATCCCTTCTCTAAAATTATTTACTCGAGTTACGTGATACCTAATTCGAAATAAAAAGTAAGGTTTCTGAACGTCCGAACAAAAAAAAAAAAAAAAGGAAAGAAATGTTCCGAAAACGTAATAACGTGTAACGAACGTTAAACGAGGAGAGGTATGCTTTCTGGTTTGCAGAATTAGCACCGGTAGGGACGAGCTGCACGAAAGACATGTTCCGTTGTAACAATGGTTCGTGTTTAAACAGAACACGGGTCTGCGATCTAACAAAAGACTGCGCCAATGGCGAAGACGAGAGTCTCGACTGCGGTAATTGGCAAATTATTGCTTCCCCTCCCTTCCCCCACCCCGGCCATCGCCGGGTGGTATGACAGACGTATAATCGAAGGGCATTTCAGACAAAATACCGGAGAACGCCAGATGTAATTTCGAACGCGATTGGTGTGGCTGGAGGAACGTACCTGAGAGACCTTTAAATTGGACCCTTCATCGTGGACCGACACCATCCGACAAGACTGGACCTAGTTACGATCATACGTATCGTAATGCGTCCGGTAGGTGTAACAATACACCATGGAGCATAACTTTTACGATCGTTTCAATTTTTTAAATTTCTGGTGCTTTGACACTGGAACTACCAAACAAGTCAAACTAATGTGTCAGTACAGTCTTATAACGATGATTAAAATGTTAGGTAAATATTTACCCCTGATAACCAGTTGTGTATAAGTTTCGAGCAAATCGCCAGTAATGAATAATAAAATTTATTTAACAAACCATAGCCATCTGTTTCCACAGTTGACTTGGGTTTTGCATGGCAACGTCAAGGGCCGGCAATCAGGCAGGTACAATAAGGGAGCCACCTAGTCAGACAAACCTGCAAAGCCAAATTTTGTCCAATGCCTGTTATAAGGTTATGACTACAAGTTCTATGCAAGATTTGCTATAAACACCTTGCGCGCACATTGGCAGCAATATATGCAGCAAACTTGGCTTGTGCAAATCTTGTTCTGGTTTTGCCTTTAATTTGACATAGGTCATGTTGAAAGAATTTCTGCCAATTTGCTTTACCATTTTGTCAGCTGGCGTTGCCTGCAAAACCCAAGTCAAATGAGGAAACAGATGGCTATGATTTTTTAGACAACTTTTGTTTTTTATTGCTGGCAATTTGCTTAAAACTTGTACACAATTGGTTATCAGGTACATCTCCCATTTCGATGATTCTATAATATGTTGTCAAGGTCATCATGCTGCGTAGTATTGTGAAGGTTTTAGTTGGGGGTTGTCGTTTAAAAATAAAAATTGTTATAAAAAAAATGTTAGTATCGTACTTTAGTAGTATTGATAAGTAAAATGACCGATGACCTTGATCTTGACATATGTTTTCAAGGTCACCCTCCTGCGTGACCTTCAGAAAGTTTCAGTTATCAAATGTTGTTTATTAAAAAGTTATTAAGAGAACAATGATACGTTTTTCTTGATCTGTTTCAAACCAATTCTGAATGACTTTTTTTTTCTTCAACTGTCTGTAACCAATTCTGAATTACTTTTTCCCTTTAACTGTTTCTAACCAACTCCGAAGCATTATATTGATCGGAGTTGCTTCGACATAGCTCACGGAAATATGTAACTCCTATCTCTAATCAACTATGAATGACTTTTTTTTTTCAACTGTCTCTAACCAACTCTGAAGCATTATACCTATGCATTTATAGCAATTTTTCACTTGGAATATGCAATAAAATAAAGGTCTTAATAACGTTTAATACTATTACATGTTACTATTAACATAGTAAACTTCCATCAGAGGATTCCAAATTCTGTTCCGTTTTAATTTCAAAATATTAATAACTGAAATTGTGAATTTGCATAAACTTCCGCAGTCTCATTATAGCATTACAATGTTTTTTCAAATATTTTACAATTTTTATTACGATACGAAAAGAAATAAAATTGAATTTATATTCACCTACTCGAAAATTTTTACTGTGTTCTGCATATTTACATTTACGACGAATGCATAACATTCCCAGTCTAATAATTATCATTTTTTTCATGTAATGTTAAGAGTTCAATTGAATTTTTATTTATTTTTAATACCGCAGGGACGTACGCCTACGTGGATGTGTCTAAACAAGTCAAATTGGGCAGTCGTGGTACCATTGAGAGTCCTTTATACAATCCGACGCCTCCTTACAGTAGCGACGCAAACAGTCGTTATTATCGGTCGTGTCAAGTAAGCGATTTCTTTCTCGTTAAAATGAAACAACTGACAGTGTTATTTAAGCTCCTGTACACAATGTTCGGTTCATTTTCACCCAAAGCCAATGTTTTATTCTTAATTATATTTTGTATTATGGTAACTTATAAATTAATTTGGCATGAATAGCTTAGATACAGGGTGTTAATAAAAATGTGGGACACTTTCACAGGGTGAATTCTGCATGCCAAACCAAGACGAAAATAAAAAATGTCATTCCACAATTTCAGGCGTATTTTGCCCACATTTTCAATAATTAATAACTGAGACACATTTTCAGAGTCATCCTTAATTTTCGTCTTGGTTTATATGTAGAATCGACTTTGTGGAAGTGTACCATATTTTTATTAATATCCTATATATTACAATCTAACGATAGGCAAATATATTTCCTTAACTCGATTTCAATCCAAGCCTAATTTAATTCAAAGGATAATAATGTCAGTTTATTGAACGGTGCACGAGGGTTGAAGTAGTTTATTTTATAGTTTATTTCATTGTTCGTGTGAAACTGCAGGTACGATTCTTTTACCATCAATATGGCACGCACAGTGGTTCCCTTGCACTTTATTTGGTCCAAGTGAAACCGCATCAGAACCATTCCGAAACACTTTGGTGGTCCTACGGTGACAGGGGAGATGTTTGGTACAATAACGCCATCGCTTTACCCGAGATAAAATACAGGTATTTATTGGAACCTATATTTTTATTTCATATGAGAAAGTAAGTTAGACTTACGGAATAAATTAGTTTTTTTCGTAGTAAGTTATCGTGAGAAAAACAAAATTCCAGAGAAATAGTTTTAAATGACCTTTTAAGTTAATTACAAAACAATCTCTGGAAAGTCTATCATATCATAACATTTCCTACTATAGTTATGTTTTATATAAAAAAAATGGAGAGAGTTTTGTTAAGTATATGTATATGGACTTGATAGCTTTTGATAATCACTTTTGTAGAAAAAGAAATTTCAACTTATTTTTTCATCTAAAAAATTCATGCTTCGTAGATTATTATATTAAAAAACAAATTATTTTAAGCTTGACTTCTTGTATATAATAGTTCCATTATTTCTCCAGATATTTCCTGCAATTCGAAGTGAGCAGAGGCTTGTCATCAACGGGTGACGTAGCAATCGACGATTTTTCTTTAAGTCCAGAATGTTTTGGCATTGGTACAGCACAGAATACTTAAACTGTAAAATTATACATACCATTAATATATTATGTAACATTGATTTTTCGTATTTTATTTAACCAGGAGTTCCTCCGGAAGTCGTCGGAGATTTCAATTATTACAACCCTGTTATTGACTCGGAAAGAATTCCTGATCAACATGCTGATTTTATAAACGAAACTGGTACTGTATAGTGACAGGCATACATTTATTAAACACAATACTTTTAAGTGATTCCCTCTTTAGATAGTTTTTACATATCACACTTGTAACTCTTTCATTTCAGACAACTTAATAGAATAATTAAAGACGGGGGCCATAACAATTTTTTAACAATATACATTCTGAAACTTTATGAATAAGGATATATTGTGCAATAACTAAGTTTTCGAATGATGTATTATTAATTGAAAATAGTAATATACCTAAATGGAAACTTCAGCAAATCATCGAAAATGTAATCTCATAAAAGTATTCTAATTCGTACAAATTAAGGAATGTACAGATACTTACAAATATTTTTATTCGAAAGCTTAGTTATTGCACTGCACATCCCAATTGATAAATATTTCAGAATATGTATTGTTAAAGAATTGTTAGTCATTCGAATTCAAGAACTGCGAGGGTGGGAATATCTCTGTGACTCACTGTATGTCAATAATTTATTTTCCGACAAATTTATTAATTTTGTAAGATATTTACGAACAGAGTATACTAGTTCTTAATTGTAACAATAAAACTTAACGATTTTTGTATATGTTAACGAAATAGCAATTAAAGATAATTAAAGATAATGTAAAAATAACAATACCAAAATAAAATTATTAATAGATCTTTTGTAACCAGAAACAATAATCACCATTGCAAAGTGCAATTACGAGAAATCATTAAAGTCAACGAGTTAATTAATTAATTATTAACATTAATGTTCAACTAATGGTTAAAAGTCATTCGTAAGAAATTGAATGGTATTTAATACTAAAAATTTTGAAGTATATTATATGGCAACATTTTACTTCACTTATTTAATTAAGTATAAAAATGTATGGTACACACGTTTATTGTTTTATAATTTTATGAACTTTCAGTTATTCGAATCACAACTTGCGGAGCGACAGGCAGAACTGGTCCCACGGTTGAACAATGCGCCGCGGAATATAATAGGACAGACATAGAGTTAATTGTACCACCAGCACCGCTGCAAGATGCTTCCTTCTATTTAAATGGTGTTCAACGATGGACGGCGCCACGAGGCGGATATTACACGTACGAACTTCTTTACATATCGTACACTCTTCTTAATTGCAATTCACAAACGACCATTTCAGCTCTTATGGGGCCTGTAGGCTCGAAGAATCCATAGTCATATTTATGTATTTACAGAAAATACTTATTGCAATCCATTAACCGAGTGTGTTCAGCTTAAAGAATGAACTCAAAATTCATAACTAAACGGCGGATTTTTGTACAAATTCAAAATTTGATGAATTCATTCACTAACCAGGGAACTTTGGTATCCCAAAAATTCTGATTTTTTCAAACTCCACAGGTTTGTAGAGGACCTTAATAGAAGTATCGAGCAAATTTTCGTTTCTGATGATATTCGGTTCTTCAGAGTGAAATAAGCCTTTAAATGTTAATGTGTGTTTTCATATTTTTCTGTATATCTTCAAAACTATGGTAGATAACAAAAAAAAACTGTTGGAATGAAAATTTAATGGTTTCTTATGCTTTACAAAATTGGGTAATGAAATTGTATTCCATAGATATGCAGAAATCTATAAACCATATTGATAACTGAATTTATTTTTATTCGATTAATTCCGAATTCTAGTTTGATCGGAGTGGGCGCAAGTGGAGGAAAAGGATCCAGTGGAATGGGTAGCACACTGGGTGCCCTTGTTCGTGGTGTAATCGAACTTGAAAAGGGCGAACAATTGTATTTCATGGTGGGACAGCCGGGAACAGACGCTTGTCCTAAAGTAAGATTTCACTTAACATTTTACAAGATTAATTTGTTCTTTTCAATACCCACAAGTTTATAAACTGTTACGATAACGTTAAACTTGCGTCATAAATTTTTATTTAAGAAAAGTATATTTGACAAGATTTGTATAAATCAACAACTGTCGTTTCTTTTTTCTTAATTGCAAGTGACAAATGAAATTTCCAGAACTTGGGTCTGAGAACAGATAGGTGTCAAAGTGTTGGTCAAACGACTGGATCAGGCCTTTCGGGAATAACTTCCATAGTGCGTGAAGTGAAGAAGATGAAGATTAGAGATGGCGGAGGGGGTGGTGGTGGAGCAACGTATATCTTCAAGGTAAGTGTATACAGGGTGGGTGATTCTGCTAAGTGTGCCACCTTAATTGCTTGTGAATTTTTTGTTACATGAAAAAATGTTTTTAAAAAAAGTTATATGGTACAAAAAGGGCTATACGATGTAATAATTAGATTAGGTAGTCACATCGTATAGTTCTTTCGATACCATACAACTTTTGTTTGAAAAATTTTTGTCGTACATCAAACAATTCACAAGCAATTTAGGTGGCACACTTAGCAGAATCACCTTCTATACATGTAATTTTAATTTTTATATTTAAATATGTCTAAATATTTCGTTCCTTGCTTTAAATATTTCCTTCCTTATTTTAAATATTCCTAATTCCTTACATCGATATTTAAAATTTGTTCATGGTATCTATATGTTTCGAACATTAAGAATAATTTTAACATATTATAGCTAAAAACCAGTGGAGAACAATACCCGATTCTTATTGCTGGTGGTGGAGGCGGTATCGGGTTGGGACAATTTGTCGATAATGGCCTTCAGCATGGTCGAGGACCTGCGCCCTTTGGCAAACAACCGATTCCCAGTCCAGTTCTCTCACCGGAAGTCGGTAACTACTAATTGCTTTCCATACGCTAATCAAATTCTACCAAACCTATTCCATCCGTATCTTGTATTACCTGTTACAGTCCAACATTGAATTAATGTACTTCTACGCCAATTTATCTGTTTACATTCAATATGTCGCGACGATACGATATCGACTGTTACAAATTTAAAAGTTAATTTTACATCGAAAAAATTGATTTTAACATGCATGCTGATTAGAGATTTCTTACTCCACTCGATAATACTATACTGTCCTATTTATTTAAAATGTCCAATTTAACAAATTATTGGCTATTTATTAATAATAGGGGACACCTCAACGATTTGGTTGACTTTGAAATATGTTTTCAAGGTCAATATTCTAAACTACTTTTCCCTATACATACAGTACCGGGAAAAAGTATTCGTACACCTTTTAAAACTTATTATACATGTATCCACCGCTCGGTCTTAGTTTCTGAGATATTTGCAAAAAACTTTAGTTAAACTTAGGGTACGACTGCAGTTCATTCTAGCATAGGCGGTCGCCTAACGGCACCCAACATCCCACCACACACCATCCAGTTCCAACCATGCATTCAACATCCCACCACACAGCACCCAGTGTTAACCAGGCACCCAACATGCCACCAGACATAAGTTTAGTTATTAATATCTACAAAAAAGAACCGGAAAAAAGTTTCGTCGCCGGGCCTCAGAGCACATCGTCTATGTGTCTTGTGTTTTGTGGGATGTTGAGTACGTGGATAACACTGGGTGGTGTGTGGTGGGATGTTGGGTGCGTGGTATAATAATTAATTAAAAAATAAAAACCTAAATATAATAATTAATGAAAAAATAAAAGCCTGAAAAAAAATCATGTAACCTGTAACATGTTCAGGGAAAAGTTGTTTAGAATAACGACCTTGACAGCATATATTAAGGTCAACAAAATCGGTGAGGAGTCCCCTATTGTGAATAATTACCAATTAATCGTTTTTCAAGATTTTTCGAAACGTTTGAAGCCCCATACGCTTTTCACCTTTTAGTTAAAGCTAGAATGTCCTGCGGAATGTTCTTAAGGCTCTAGAAACAGCTTAATTTATCTGCCCTAACTAGTTTTCAAACAATTCTACTAATTTACACTGTTCTATGTAACATCTACTAACATAGGTACTCTTAAGTTACGACTTATTTTTATGCCTCAATTATTTATGTTCAAGGTACGCGTAAAAAAAAAAATAAAATAAATATGACTTAAACGATTTCCTGTATTAACCCCTTGCCTTACGATTTTCTTGACGTCTACAGTCTTCGGAAATACTTTACTATTACTAGCTTCCTAAACATAAAAGGAATTATGTACTAATTGCAAGTGTGCATTTACTCTGACATGTTATATATTAATACCAGCAGAACAGTATTTCACTTCGACTCACAGAAAATTAATAATATTTATGTTTATGAAACCCATATTGAATATCGTCATCACGAGTCCAACTCGATGTTATAAGCAAGGGGTTGAAATGGCCTACGATGGAAAACAAGGACGGCACAAAAAAAATAATAAAACCTTATTTTTCTCGGATGTCTGAATATATCAGTTAGGACAATTAAGCTAACGAGGGCAGTATAATCCTTTAAAGTCTTAAACCTTTTGTTTAATACCCTGTATGTTACTATATAACGCTGGTAATTTTAGTGTTGATAGTCCGTTTCTGGGCTAGACACGAAAACGGTTTCCTCGAAGCGAACGAACGACGTTTCAATTTTATCTCGGCCGGTTCACGTGCCCGTCGTTTGCGGTAACGCCCGTCAATCCGCGTTTAGTCATAACTGCCTCGAGAAACTGTGTTAATTACGCGAATTTCGCTGGCGCAGGCGGCCCAGGAGCTGGGTGGAATGGATCGTGGAGTGGCGACTGGGTTCAACGTACCTCGGCTGGCACAGCTCTGGCTCGGGGTGGCGTCGGAGGGATTGGTTGCGGTCCTGGGAATCACAGCCACGGCAACGGAGGATTCGGTGGCGGAGGCGGTGGATGTTTAACGGGAGGCGGTGGTGGTGGTTACATAGGTGGGGAAATGAATCGATACCTTTGAATTATAGGGGAAAGGTGTCTAAAACGATCCCTTTAGGGCGTAATTTATATAAAAAATACAAATGCTCATTATTTAAATAAAAGTAAAGTAGTTTTTTTAAGTTAGTCTATCTATCTTATCATTGGTTTAAATAAAATTTAGCTACGTGATCAATTATATTTTTTATTCACATTTCTTTGAAGGCATACTTAAGGATCATTTTGTAATGTATGTGTATAAAATGATCCCCGGGGATCATTTTATACCTACTGATAGTAAATACGACGAACATTGAAAAGCATTTCAGTATTTACATTTTATTTAAATAAAAACAGCTTTGACGCGTTGTTTTTCTTTCATACTGACGAGACATTGTTGTAACTAAAACAAAAAATAATAGTATAGCATATGGATAAAATGATTCCTGGGATCATGTTATTCTACTACTTACATTCAGTGGGTGAATATAACATCAATTTAATACATGCGATAACGAAACATTAATTAACTTATTATTGAATTGTGGTTTAATCCGCGCAAGAAGCAGCTGTCACATTAAATCGTTTATGACAAAAATTACACAATATTGAAAAAGACCTTATCTTAGGTAAATTGCAGTAATTTAAAATTTTTCTTGTGGACAACAGACAGAGCATTGATATTCACGTGGCACTTCGAGCAACGACTACTGACCTGCGGGGAGAACTTTTGTAGAACGACATTGCGATATAGCACTACTAATAACCACAGGGCACCTAAGAATCATTTTACCCCGAGGGATCGTTTTAGACACCTTTCCCTTAATTCTGCTAAAATATTTCGTCCTTTTCTTCCTATTCTATCTAGATAAAGAGTTTCGAATAATGAATGAGGAAGTACTTCGTAATTTTTAATTAATTACACGTAGAAATTCCAATTTTTATAATAATGTAATACCTACTTCTTCTTGAATGAATAGACACTTGACAAACAATTATTTAATTTCATTAACTATTTAAAGGTCCGGATGACGCTCTTAGATACTGTTGCTTTTCACTGTGTATTATTTGAATAAAATTCTGCTCAATTCTGTCGGGTACAACTCCATAAATAATGTTGCCTTTTACCACCTTGTTTACATAAAGAAATGTACGGGATGTAAACAAATGAATGGTCGTGGTTTCAGGAGGTGAATCTACGCATGTATGTATTCGTATTGACAATAAGTAGAAACGGAATGTAATGAGCAGACGCATTTAGCTAAGCCCTGTTCAATTTCGATTCTCTCGAAAACGAAAGATCATACGAGCAAATTTTATTTTACATTTTTCGTTTAGATTTGCATGTAAAATCACATTCTTTCGAGTTGTACCATTACATCGTGAACATCCTGTACATAGCCTACAACTTTAACATTAAATATTTGATAAACTAATGGCCATATCCGGCTGAAAAAAATAGCATTTAGCTCAGAATTCCAAGCTCTATAAAACCTACGTGGAACACATAGACAAACAAAACATATACTCTCTAAATATACAGAAAAATATGATTGTAAAATAATTACCATTTTGAAAAAATATATATAAATCATATTATACTCAGAATCAAAATATCTAAGAAATGCAAAAATATAGACCATAAATCTTTGAAAAAATATGATATGCAGGATGATTCAAATTGAACGAATACAGAAATTTCTGTCTGTTTAACGAAGGTTCGAATGTATTATTATTTTACAATATCGATAAAATCTGTGTCCAACGAGAAACTAGATTTTGTATCCCAGTGAAGTGAAAATACAATTCAGTCCAAACGTGTGACAATTTAGGTGGCGACACGGGCCATAAGGAATCCGGAAATGGCGAAGGTGGTTACTCGTACGCGAGTCGCGAGCTTATGCACGTTCACTTCCGGCCAGCAGTAAACCACGAACCCGGCGAAGTCTACATTATTCCCGCTATCAGCGGCTGCGGCTGTGATTTCCGTTGTGTCGCTCTCGATCAGTATCTCAGCGAGACAAAGTGTCTCTGTCCACCTGGATGGTTACTGAGCAACGACTCGAGATCCTGTGTCAGTAAGTGAAATTTCAACTTACACGTAGCGTTGCTTACAAATTACAGTGAGTAAAACTTTACCTAACACGTTCACTGCTGGACGAACACCTATGAAACTTCCTACAGTAGCAGAGTAACTTTTATTGGGAAATGTTTAGAATAAGGGAGCCACCTCCAATTTCAGATGATTTTTCAATATGTTGTCAAGGTCACCACTCTGGTGTAGTGTTGTGAAAGTTTTAGTTAGGAGACGTTGTTATAAAAAAATGTTTTAGTTATTAACAAAAACACTTATTTATCCATTTAAGTACATTTTCTGTTACTGGGTATATACTTGCCATTATTTTAAAAAAACCATCTAATCTTTCATCAAAATCAAAACAACTATTTCTAAGAAACTCTGAATAACTTTTTTTTAAATATAATGCCTCAGAGTTGGTTAGGCACGGTTCAAGAAGAAACAGTTATTCAGAGGTGGTTAGAGACAGTTAAACAAAAATGTCATTTAGAAATGATGCGAGACAGTTCAAGAGAAAGGTATAATTGTTAATAATTTTTTAATAAACAACTTTCGATAACTGAAACTTTTTAAAGGTCACTCAGGAGGGTGACCTTGTCAACATATGTCGAGGTCCAGGTCATTGGTCATTTTACTTATCAATACTACTAAAGTACGATATTAACCTTTTCTTGATAATTTTTTTACAAACGGCAACCCCCAACCAAAATTTTTACAATACTACACAGGGTGATGACTTTTATTTTTTACTTTTTAATCCCACCATGCTAACCCACAACGCCTTCCCCTGAACTGTGTGAACAAAACTTCGGGGAGGGCGACCGGTCACCGATTTGTCTCCCGGTATATAGGGTGTAACAAAAATATTGCTTGACTGGGACACTTGGGGGGTGAATTGGAACAACTTTTTCCTTAGCAAAAATGTAATCTGAGGCTTTATTAATATCAGGGTAACGAAGCCTCAGATTATATTTTTGCTAAGGAAACAGTTGTTCCAATTCACCCCCCGAGTGTCCCATTTCCGGGTCGAGCAACATTTTTGTTACACCCTGTATAATGACACCTTTCCACCTACGTGTAGGTGAGAAGACGTCCCGCGCGTGTCCCTTTTAGTCGCCTCTTACGACAAGTAGGGAACACTTTTGGTGTATTCTGATCCCGACCAAGAGGAATGACACAGGATGATGACCTTGACAACATATTAAAAAATCATTATTGTAAATATTTACCCTTTTTTTTCTAACAAAACGGAAATTAAACAGTGACTACCAAAAGTTTTCCGGCTAAACTGTAATTTCAACATATCTTTTCAAAAATATATAGTATAAATAAACTTTTGACATACTCATATTGAGGATACATTGCTTATATCGAAATTATGTACACAACAGGAAATGTAATTTCTTTAGGGACCCGACCCGATAATTCTGACCGATAGCACATTCTTCATTAATTAGATTCTTCACTGATTAGATTCTTCATTGATGCAGGGGACGTGTCAGGAAGCTTACAGAATTTATCAGTATTATAAAAACATTGAGAATCAATATATGAAATTTTCTCGTTTGCAGTGGCGGATGATTCGAAGGTTACGCATCAGACGTTCATGATTCTGTTGATAACTGTGAGCATCGTCCTGCTGTTGGCTTTCACCGCCCTCTGTCTGCTGTTTTGTAAGAATATATTAAATAATATTGTACTTTCCATATTTTGTCGAACATACAGGGTGAACCACAAATTGTGATCAGTAGATATCATTAGATGTGTTCCAATGTACAGAACGAAATGTTTACAAACAGTACAACATCGGAACGCGTACAATGGCGTAGCATAGGATACTCTGTGTAATATTACAGTTCGAATATTTCTTTAATCTTTTCTCGACCCAGATGAAAAAAAAAGTAACACATGTTATGTTATAATACTTACCGTATTCGTCTTGAAATTCTCTAATAGATAGGTGTAAAAAAATTATAGGTGTATTTGCAAAAAATTGAAGGTGACCTTGAAAAATCATGAAAAAAAAGAGTTGACAAAAAATTTGCTACAATCACATTAAAGCGCTCTTGAAATCATGCTATACCTGATAAAAACATTTTCGATCGGACTGCTAATAACAGAGTAATCTCTACTGATCACGATTCGTGGTTCACCCTGTATATGTTGTTTAATAATTTCATCGAATACAAGGGATAAACCCTTGGAGTTCAACGCTAACACAGTAATTATATAAAAACTGAAATATCTCGTAAAGTATTGTGTTTTCAATGATCTTACAGAAGAACTCCATGTGGAATCAATTAATGCAAAAAACATCGTGGTTTTCGATTTAAAAAAAAAACGTGCAATTGCAGTTTGCAGGTGCATCGAAAGACATTCGTGAAAAAAATAGTACAGTCAGATGATGAAGCTTGTTAAACAATGCAAAATTTTCCTCTATGATTCTTTCTTAACGTTATTTGGAACAGAGCTATAACCTGTCCCAGTTACTAAAATTACCCTGTATGTATTATACGATCTAATTGTTCGTTGTCTATAGACAATCGTTACCAGAGTCGAAAGGAGCTTCTACGTCGGCGACAAGTTATGTTCGGGAATGGTACCGAGTTGACGTCGCTGCGCGCCGTCACTGACACCATGATGACCGAGTTCAATCCGAATTACGAATTCGCCGGGAATCTCTATAGCTTTAAGGACCTACCGCAGATACCCCGCGAATATATTACCTTAGTAAAGTAAGTACAAATCCATTAACACTAGAATCACCGACGATAAATATATGTACAGTGATCCCTCGATAAATGCGACACGAGCAACGGCGTTCTTCTCATCACTAGGGGAGTCCCTTCGTGGAACCAATCAAAACAGAGTGAATAAAAACTAAGCAGAGGCTCGGCTACGGGTAAAAAATAAATTTATGAGGGGCTGAAAACCTTTCCGACTTCCTATAAATGCTCCGAAGTGGACTTGAGTACGTTGCACTCATCGAGTCATTACTGTAGGAGAAACCAAGGAAAAACGTTCACGGGACCAATGTAACAACTGTTATAAAACAAATGTCAATCGACCAAGAGTCATCCCTTCCAATCTTTATACACAAATTCCATCTGTCCTTCATCACAGTTGTCGCTAACACGTAGCAGTAAGACCAATGTCCCTATTTCTAATCATGTCCCCATTTTTGCTCAGCATATATATTTTTTTATTTTATGTAAAAAGTTAAATAATACATTAGTTATACAAATAATTATTTAAGTCAGTTCAGTATTTCTGTATAAAATGCTACAGTCCGCTGTTCAACAGATGGCAGCATTTTAACAGAAATAAATTTAATTAGTGTGTCCGTCGTAGAGAAACGTGATTTTGAGCGGTTCCGTTCCGATCGTGAGTTACACGTGGACGCTGCGTTTTAATTATAAACAACTTATGGAATCTTTGATATTGTTCGCCAAAGTTTGGTTTTGGCACTTCCATTTTCGCTGAGCAGAAATAGGGACACGCTCGTGAGCATAAATGCGAACATTTTCATTTTCGCTGAGCAGAAATGGGGATATTTTATACTTTATATTAAATTCACTATCATTAAGTTAAAATATTTTTCAAAATACTTTTATTTAAATTTAATTATAAAGGGAGGTTTAAATTTTATATCTAATAAGTTTCTTTTGTCGATTGTTCCATAAATAAATAGTAAAAATCAATTTCCGCGATAACGGTAGTTTTACATAATTAGAAATAGGGAAGACTGACCTTAAGCGGTTTCCCTAAGACGATTACCGTATTGAAATAATATACCAAAAGAAAATTGGCATTATCTCTTTTCAATTGTGTAAATTTTTGTTTCAGTTTCGAAAAATCCTGTGAAAGTCTTTGTGTTATATTAAGTAATTAATGTATTTTCAGGTAGATGTAATATTTTTCATGATAATAAGTCAGGTTTGCATAAGCTGTTACTTTTGTCCCGATTTAAGCTGTCCCCTTTTTTTATGCCCTTTGGTTTTCCGAGTATGCTATTTTAACAATTAAGGGATTAAGCTTACTTCCAGAATACCGAAAGTATTCGTAAAAGGAACATAGACCATGGACTGGCTTCTGCAGAATTATATAAATTAGCTGCAAAAGAGGTTACAAACAAAAAAGTGTCTTCCAGACGCATCTTAAAATCGGTTAAACTATGCTACGTGACATTGGTTCGACCTATTAAAAGGCAGAAAAATATAATTGTAGAGGGTCAAACTGACCTACCTTCTGCTTGTTACACATCGACAAAAAGGGTGTTTTCAAACGAAGAGGCAATAGTTTTGCAACATTATTTCTTGCACTTATCCGCTATCAATTACGGCATAACAACAAAAGAAATAAAAAAAAAAGTGGCTTACGAGTTGGTAATAAAGTATGAAAAATCTATTCCTGACTCATGGCGAAAAATGAATTTTAATACTACATATATGTTTGCATTTAAAAAAATTTTTGAAGTTTATGTTACTTTTATGTTCATGTTTATATTTATCTTTATATTTATGTTTACGTCTATCTATAGACTAAATAAAAATATCATTTAAAAGCATCTTTCCTTTTAGTTGTTTTTTTTTTAATTTAGATGCGATGTTACATTCAACCCTAGGGGTAGGGACAAAAGTAACAAATGAATGATTTTGAAGAATGTCTTATTTCACAAAACTGGTATAATATATTCTAAGTTTGAAAGTTTGATAATGTCCAATAATCAAAGTTTCTCCTCGTGTAAGAATTTTTTCTACTGTATTCAAAAGTTACAGATTCAAAAAGAACAATTGTTACGTTTGTCCCTGGCCTTTCCTACAGCTATCTCTATCGGATCGAGAAACGCGACAAACCTTTGAAAATACGCAAATTCGTATATTAACTGATTTTTTCACTTTCATATTGCAATAAAAGTTTTAATCATCGTTAGAAGAAAGTACTAACGAGTCATTTTAACTGCTTTAGTATTTAGTTTTAGTGTTAAGAGGGTATTCCCACTCGAAGGCGTCATTTTTAAGCGATTTTTAGGACTAAGAATTAATGGACGTAGAAACTTGTATTTTTGTATATACGTTTGTTCACATCTCAAGAAAGGACAGTAAAATTTTTGTACAATTATCCCTTATATCAACAAAATTATTACATGCTCTTTGCAGCGTATTGCTCGGAATGGCTGCCACGATTCACGTTGTTGTATTCATTGGAAAAAAAATAAAAAATAATCTTAATCCACATAGAAGTGGCTATATTGTGAACTACTATGAAGCAGAAAAAAAATTTGTTAATAAAACGGCAGCCATGTAAAGCAAAAATTCGTTAAATTTGCGACTTCTTCAGGCGATAAAAAAAACTATTGCTGATATTGGGGTAATAGTGGTTCACAAGATAAAGAGACGTCCATTTTATATGTACATATATCGAAGCTGAAGTAGTTTGGTGAATTCATTATTGAGATACTATGGCAGCCAATTTGACTCTTAAAATCGTTATAACTTCGTCATTTCAATGAATTGAAGCATATCACTTTGGGAACACATTTTCAAGGTGTTATAGTTTAAGGAAATACATTTAAAAACAATTGATTTTGTTACCCCTCCGAATCGGAATACCCCTTAATACCATAAAAACTACAATGATTTTCCCTTACGGCCCGCAATTTAGAAATATCGAAGAATGCTAGGAAGAATAAGTTGATTGGATTATTCACTGTACCTGTTCCACTGTACAGATTAAGAGAAAGAATAACGAATTATTCATGTGTATCGTAGACCTCTGGGCCAAGGAGCTTTCGGCCAAGTGTTCCAAGGAGTTTACAAATACAGACGGAACGAGGAACACCCTGTCGCTGTAAAGACGATACCATCTTCTTCGAGGCCTCAAACAGAGGCCGATTTCATGATGGAAGCTCTAATTATGAGCAAATTCAATCATCCGAATATCGTTCACTTCATCGGCGTCTCCTTCGATCAGAACCCGAAATATATTATTTTGGAGCTGCTTGCCGGTGGGAACCTGAAAAATTTCCTCCGCGAGGAAAGACCACGCGCGGTAAATACTAAAGCACACTAAAACGCTCCTCCTTTTATATTCCGTTTTTTTTTTTCTTTAAATTAATTTATTAGATTTGTTACTTTTATCAGTATATCAAAATCACAATTTTCGAAACGAATTGAAAAATCTCTGAGAGACTTGTCCCGATGAACCCATGAAAATGATTTTCATATTATAATCATTCAAGGGAATACGAAAATAAATTTCCAGGCAAGTAGAATTTCCTTCGTTTCAACATGAATGAAATCAAATAATAATACTACTAGGTGTACCAAGAAGTAGTCCACTACATATACATATTATTTTTAAACATTGTATTCGTTTCAAATTAATTTGGAATGCCTATCGTAGTTTAAGAGTAATCATTCTTTGTTTCCATCATCCTCCGACATTTCGACCGAAGAGAAGACTGGAAAGATATTCTGAATCTGTTGGAACTATACAGGGTGTCCGAAAATAACTTCGACTCCTGGAAATGATAGATTCCTGGGGTGATTTGAAACAACTTTTTCCTTAACAAAAATGTTTTCCGAGGCTTTATTAACGAGATATTACCGAAAAACCCCGACCAATCAGAGCTCGGCCGGCAGCTCGCACCCTGATTGGTCGGGGTTTTTCGTTAATATCTCATTAACAAAGCCTCGGATAACATTTTTGTTAAGGAAAAAGTTGTTTCAAATCGCCCCAGGAATCCATTATTTCCGGGAATCGAAGTTATTTTCGGACACCCTGTATAGTGAATTATTGGTACGTCTAAAAATTGCAAGGACGTCGTTTCTAAATACCATACAAGATCTGCCTTTTTGATCCACTGAGGACCGCAAGCGTACCATTACGACACATGGTTTATCTGCCATTTGAAATATTCATTTTTTTCTTAGCTGTATAGGTTGCTTACCAAAAGTACTAATTTCATTTCATTAGGTTAAAATTTATCGTTAATAGGTATATTTAGAAATAATCTATGCAACACGGCGATACCTACGCGTTATCATACCTATTTTTTCTACAATCCTCGGATGTCATACCTATTTTTTCGAACGTATATAGTTGTCCCACTGACAAGGAAATCCTGGTGACTGATAAACGCCGATTGTGATGCAACTTTGTAGAACTGTTCATTAGACTTACTATTTTGCTGTAATTCGTTCGTTCCCGTTTTTACTTTAAGGAGGAAATCACCCTTTTATCCGAGCCGGCTCGTCTATGTAAGTGCTTATACATCTTAAACTATAAAAAATATCAAAAACTCGGTTAAATAAAAATTATACCGTTTCTTGTGGCCTACAAACGTCTGTGAAAAAAAGATTCGACCCAAACCAATGTTCAATCAGCTGCTGTTTAAACACTATCTATTAAATTAAGTCGCAAAACCTCCGAGGTAGAATATATTTTCATTATAAAAACTATTATTTAAAGCATTATGAGTAAAAAAATTCTGGAAAAAAATTTCGAAAAAATGTTTCTTGCTTTGAGTCACAGCTAGACTGCTTACTTGCAATACATAGCTAATTAAAGATTCTAATATTTAATATTATCTGTGCATTATTATTAACATATTAAAATCCATAGTATAGAAAGGAAATTTCTGTGTAATTTGGTTTTTTCTACATTAGTATCCAAAATTGTAAATTTGCATTACCATCCGCAGTCTAGTCATAACTGTTTGTCAAATAAAATTTAATAATTCAGCCAACTGATTTCGATTAAGTTTACTTAAAAGTAAAACTTTGGATCACTTCGATCCAGTGGGATAACTGATGGTTAAAATGCATGGTCATCAGTGGAATCAGGAAGAAATATTATTTTTGAAAATTTCTATAGCTTCCAGTTTCCATAATTATCTCAAACATCGTATAGACGGCGGTACCGAAACGCTCCTGTACTAGATTTCTGTGTCACAATCGATTCACTCGACCGCTTAATTTCACCTTTTAAGTTCTATTTTTTACTTTCATTTAACTCTGTGTCGTTCTCGATTATAATTTAAACAGGGACAACTCATAATTTTTGGCGCTGGTCATCAATGGGGTGCATGCGTATGATTCCTGTTTTGGCAGGATCGGTCTACGTCGTTGACGATGCTGGATCTGATAATGTGCGGCTTCGACGTCGCGAACGGTTGCAAATACATGGAGGACGCACGTTTCATTCATCGCGACATCGCCGCGCGTAACTGTTTGCTCACGTGCAAGGGGCCTGGCAGGGTTGTGAAAATCGCGGATTTCGGGATGGCCAAGGATATTTACAGAAGCGATTATTACAGGAAAGGGGGCAAGGCAATGCTGCCTATAAAATGGATGCCGCCGGAAAGTTTCTTGGACGGAATATTCACGACGAAGACCGATGTTTGGTGAGTTCTCGATGGAATGTTTAACGTTGGAACTACCGAAGGCAAACGTGTTTCTATTTACGTCACGTTCGTTAAAAGGACAGTTTGTTGAAAATATAAAAATCGACGAATTAACGAACTTTTTCACTGATTGTATTGTAATATTAGTTACGAAGAATCTCAGAAAATACATTGCTGTGACGTTTTAATCATTTTTGTAAGAGGTTACCGAACATTTGGATTGAGGTTCTTATTTTCTATCGATTCTTGGAAGAATCATAGAATAAGACAAACAAATTTTTATTTGACTCCAATCTTTATACAGGGTGAACCATAATCGTGATCAGTAAATATCATCAGATGTGTTCCAATGTACAGAACGAAATGTTTAATAACAGTAGGCAAGAGCTCAACATCGGAACGCATACAATGGCGTAGCATACGATACACTCTGTAATGTTACAGTTCGAATATTTCTTTAATTTTTCTTCGACTCAGATGAAAAAAGAAAGTAACACATGCTATGTTATGATACTTACCGAATTCGTCTTGAAATCCTCTAACAGATAGGCGTAAAAAAATTATAGCTGTATTTGCAAAAAATTGAATGTGACCTAGAGAAATCATGAATAAAAAAGAGTTGACAAAAAATTTATTGTAATCACGTTAAAGCTCTTTTGAAACCATGCTATACCTGATAAAAACATTTTCGATCGGACTGCTAATAACACAGTAATCTCTACTGATCACGATTCGTGGTTCACCCTGTATAATAATTTCACAAGAATCTGTATTTACATAAATATCCGTAGTTCGACAATAAACGTCGTTTTTCAACACGTCTCATTTTGTAAACCTAAATGATCGTTATACATGAAAGTAAGAAACTTGTAATTCGTTGCTGAGATTCTAACAATTGAAATGGATTTTTCAAAATCTTCTGTTCAAGACAGGTCGTAATCGTTGAAACGCTGCGTTTTAAAACTGACATTTATTAGGCAACAACCTCATACTTGAAATTTTTTTTAATTGGTTTGAATTGTCACGGTTTGTTGAAAATGTTACAAGCACTCCTTGTAATCTGTTAACACGATTACCGTCGTAATACTTACGATTGAGACCATACAATACCGCGATCAAATTTCGTATTCGATTCGATTGTCGTTTGTAGGGCGTTTGGCGTTTTATTGTGGGAAATCATGTCTTTCGGCTACATACCGTACACAGGGTGTACCAATAGAGAAACCATGGCGATGGTAACATCGGGTGGTCGATTGGAAAAGCCAGCTGGATGTCCCGATCCTATTTACGGGATAATGACGCGATGTTGGCATCCACGACCCGACGATAGGCCTAGCTTCGCGACCATTGTCGAGAGAATTGGTTACTGTTTACAGGTGACTATCGATTAACCATGATTCGTCTGATAATTTCGATTGATTAATCCTGAAATATGCATACGTTCATAGGATCCCGACGTGATAAATCATCCAACGCCTAATTTTGATATTTTGCCAATTTGCGATCGCGAGACAACGATCATGAGACCGGACCCGGAAGCAGAGTGTATCAATGTACAATCTGAAGTAGGTATATCCGTTTTTTATCGTTGTTGTCGAGAAATCATTAGGTATACGATGTGAATTAACCCGTTAGGTACAGTCTGTAACTGGTCATATATTTCTGGTGCTAAAATTCAGAATCAAATGAAGTCTAAAGGTGCGTATCCACTTGTTGTATACCTTCGTATTGTATAATTGTTGTGTATCGATGAGGATGGGCAAGCGTTGCATACTGTTGCGTTTAGAAATGTGATCGTATGGTGATACGATTCGGTGATGTGCAACAAATGGATACGCACCTTAACTCGTCGGTCGATTAGAAGCAATATTTGGCTAATTCAAACTTGCACGTTCAAGGATGCTTGGCGATGCAAAAGATGCTAAGTGCCATTGCATTTAACCCTGGGTACTTCGAAACATACCACACTCTTCAGGGAAATCAGTTATCGTTATATCTTAAATGTTTTTTTTTTTTCAATATGTGACATATTTCGATGACCAGAATCGATCTTCAATACTATGCCACTCATTTTATGAAATAAACGAAGTTTTAGATGAAATCTGTTGTTGATTTAATTTCGAACGCGACATGTATTAGGACATGCAGAAAAAAAATTAAATCAAATCTGTGCGGCTAAAATTCTTCGAATTAAATTGGTACCCAAGGGGTTGAATACGAGTAGAATGGGATCAGACCTCTTCGTTATAAATGAGTTTAATAGGAAGCTCTGTAAACCACAGCCAGGTAATGATTCTAAAATAATGAATACAATTTTTTTAATGCAACTGTAAACAAGGGAAATATATCTATCTCTGTAGATTTAGCTTTTGGAAATTGTTTAACGAGAATTTACATTTCTACACACAACTACATTCTAATTATCGGTTTAATGTTGTATCAGTTGGAAAAATGTTCAGTTATTCAGATCTATGATAGACTAAACTTCTGCGATTTTTATAGTTGGACGCATGCGGCTACATGCAGCCTCGAATCATTGATCCTCGATCAGCGAGCCAGCGTATGGCTCAAGCAACCGCTGTTAACGTTTCGTTCAATCTTAGAAATGAACATTCGAACGAAAGAGCATTTATACCACCGACGGATCTTCAAGGACGAGTTCTTTCCAATCCATACGGCTCCAGTACAGGTGTATCTGACCAAACATACGGCAAGAACATGAGTCGTGATAATTTCGATGAGAACGATGATACAGAGGTACATCTAAACAATAAACGAGTGATTAAACTTATACGAATTACGTTTTGTTATATTCTATCGTTTTTAACTAGGCAAGCTCTCTGACAATTGCATTTTTAATTTTAAAAACTGCCATTTTGGTTGACTCGTATTTTATTTTTGGACGATATTTATGTGTGATCGTTAAACAATATATTTTATTGAGTTTAAAAAGTACTGTATCGGCACGTTAGCATTTACAATGTCCCTTTTTCATTATTGTTTGTATACACGGTGGTCCAGAATTTTCTGGGTGAACTTCGTCAGGATATTTTACAAATAGAAAGAAGAATGAATAGGTCGTTTGAAGCTTTATTGAACAGTTGGTGAAGAGTATTGTATAAGAAAAATATGGAATAAAATATCAGAAATAAGTGGAGAATCTATGAAGCCATCTACTCGTAGTACTCGAATTTAAAGTGTACCATTGGTGAGAAAGTGAAATAGTTACTTCACCAATTTTCTCTGATTTATATTCATCAATTTAGCACGCTTATTGATTGTACTTTTGATAAAATTTTTTTATTTCCACAATAGCCTTTTAATAAACCTTCACACGATTTTCACTCCCATTCACACGTATTAGGATTCTTTGCACACGTGAGACAAACCCGTAAAATCATTACACAATTTTTCATAATATTAAAAATGTATTCTTTAAAATGCAGTAAAGCTCAATACGTAATGTCTACATTAACCCTCGCAGTACTGAGGAGATTACTTTATGCCCACTAAATTACTGAATAGCCTGAAGTTCCATTTTGAAACAAGACCTATATTCTCAACAAAAATTATTACTTATAAAACTGTTTATTTGCTATAACTTGTTTTTAATTTTAACGAAATACTTTCTTTAACTTATTTTATCAAAAAGGACATCCTAATATTTCTGAACGGATATGCGGATTTATAATTTGTATAAGGGTACATTTATGTCAGAGTGGTGATAAGGACAAAGAGTAGAAATATAATCTATCTATAAAAATCTATCTACAAAACTCTATCTATAAAAATCTATCTATATAAGCGACGAGAAAGAAATATTACTTTTTCTTCGCTGTTATCGCCGTTGTCCTCATTGGTACACAACCAAATCGACAATGGATATTAAAAAATTAATAAGTGTTCATTAGACCCCCATTATGGGATCAGAGAAATACAGATCACCATAACAGATTTATTTTAGATAAATTATAGGATGAAGTAACCCTTAAATTAAATACAACACGTAAGCATAAATATTTCGTTGTTGCATTAATTATATTTATATGTATCACATGCTTTCAATTCTAGTAGATGTTAATGGCAATTGCACCACACTTTTTTTAAATCATGCCTGATAGTTTTTGATAAGATATAATCAAAGGTCTCTATTTTCATTTGCATATGTTCAAAACAATTTTGAGGATATTTTCGTAGGTCATTATATTATAAATGATGAAACTCTCCATGTTCATATCTTTCAGTAGTAATGGAATGCACAAAATATTTACGTTTAGTGAGTAGACTTTTCTCAATATAGCATTTCGCAGAACTCGAAAATAATATAATGATTCTTCTTCAGAATCACTCATGTTTTAGGTTGTTCACCCAAATTTTTCATAATTATAAATTTAGTTGAAAATTTAAAAGAACATTCTTAAAAGCTTCAACTTTCGATTGCTATTAAAAAATCGCAAGGTCAACGATAAAATTATTGAAAAAGAAGTGTTATAAAAATGTCTGTTTAACACGAGCTTTATGGAACTGTAGTTGATACTCAGAAGTTAATCATTATTTATTTAGTTACGAAAAATGACGTTTTCATAAAAAATCAGGTGGTTACAGATTTTTTTATGGAGACTATGATGGTACGGAAAAAAAGATACGTTAACGATCAAATAAAACTAAAAATTAAGATCAAAGTATGGAAACTTAAGTACTTGCTTTCCTTTGGTTTGTTCGACAAACTTTTTATTTCCGAAAAGTTAAAAAAAAATTGAATTTTTTTACAATAAGGAAAAAAACGTTTGTTTTTTGCCCTTATTTGTACATTTTTTTTTCATTCCAGTATTTCGAATTAGTTTAAAATATTAATTATTCAAATTAAATTGTTAAACTCGATAATAAGTATAATGCGCCATATGGAGCTAGATACGACACCAAACGTGTGAACTGCCTTAAATGTTTCATCCTTGCGAAACCTTAAACGACTGAAATTGCACTATTATCAAAGCTCCACTACAAACAAACCGAAGAAAGAATATGTTTTAGCAGCTTTTATCGTCGTTTCGATCGACGCTATTATAGCTTTTATCACAGCTCCAGCATAAACGTACCCTAAAACAGAAGATCGCTACTGTGGCCGACAAGTCTAACACCTTTCCCCGTACGGTTCTACCCAATCATTTTTTTTTTCGGTAAACAAGAAACATTCCAAGAATTAGTCGCCATGTCGACGAAAGTCCACCCGGAAAATCCCGCGACGACACTATACGGTCGGAACCAAAGTTCGGCAGAATTTTATTCGAATAATACACAGTGAAAAGCAACAGTATCTAAGAGTGTAGTTCTGAGCTTTAAACAGTTAATGAGATTAAATAATTGTTCGACAAATGTCGATTCACTCATAAAGAGGTATTATTTTATTATAAAAATTTCCACGTTTAAACAATTAAAAATGACGAAATACTTTTGTTATCTTTTATTCGTTATTCAGAATTTTGTATCTAGATAATGAGTTTGCGCATCTCTGGTGGGAACGTGGGATCGTTCACGTGATTATGTTTGCAGAGCAAACACAAGGCTGACAGCGGGAATAATCGTGACGAGAAAAGTGTACATCGAACTTCAACGGACATCGAAAATAACGGTAAGTTAGGATACACGGATAATGGCAACGATCGTCCAATGGAGACCGAAAGCCATCAAAGCAGCACGATCGACATCACCGAGGCGGACAGACGAAACGGCAATGAGAGCCAAACCACAACCGACACGAATTCCGATTCGTTGATCGTCGCCTCGTCGGACACGCTGCCCGACACGACGAACACGTCGCCTAACACACGTACCTGTTCCCCGAGCCACGTCGGCCTAAACACAACCCCGACGAACGTGAACGGGATGCTGAAGAAAAACGCCCTGAAGGCTGCCCTCAGTCTTGACCCGAGCACATTGTGTCGCGGCACGATACCGTACGAGAAGATCGCGTTCACACCACCACCGCAACGATCAAGCACACCTGGAAGTATAGAGATCAAAAAGGTAATTTTTGGGGACTTGATGAATGTTGATCGAACTAGAGGTGTGCCAGTTCTTGTAATTTATAAGCTGAGTCGGACCACAGACGAGATATAAGAATAGACCTGACATCTTATGGGATTTGGTGTCCCACGAAAATCACGCAGGAACTACGTTCGATACTGTGATAACGCACAGCACACACACACCCATAAATGTATATAGAAATACGTACATACATTATTGCTTCGGTTTCGCTACCAAGGAATGTAATACTGATATGGTATGGGGGCTTCCGACGCCACCGAAAGATGGGATAAAAAATAACATTGTATGTTAGGTCTATTCTTATATTTCGTCTGTGGCCGAACTCGGTTCGATTGCTCGAGTCGAGTCGATCGTTTGAAATTTCCGAGTTCAACTTGAAATCAACGAACTGTTTGAAAAAAATGCGAGCTAAGGTCAATGTCCCTATTTCTAATTATGTAAGAGTTCTGCTATCGCAGGAAGTTATTTTTATTATTTATTTATGCAACAATCGAGAAAAGAACTTGTTAGATATAAAATTTGAACCTCCTTTTATAATTAAATTTAAATTAAAGTATTTTTCAAAACATTTTAACTTAATAATAGTTGATTTAATATGAAATATGAAATGTCCCTATTTCTGCTCAGCGAAAATCAGCGAAAATGGAAGTGCCAAAACCAAACTTTGGCGAATAATATTAAAGATTCCGTAAGTTTCAGTTAGTAAAAACGCATTGTCCACGTCTAACTCACGATCGCAACGGAACCGCTCAAATCATGTTCTTTACAACGAACAAACTTATTAAATTTATTTCTATTTAACTGCTGCCATCTATTGAACCGCTGCCTATAGCATTTCTACGGAAATACTGAACTAGTTTAAATAATTTTTTGTGTAACTAATTTATTATTTAACTTTTTACATTAAATAAAATATATACGTACTAAGCAGAAATCGGGACATTGATCTTACTTGAGAAACTCACCTGTCTCGAATATTCGAGCGCTCGTAAAAACTTTGATTTACTTGAAAATTAATTTTCAGCTCGAACATTTTCAAATTACTCGAATATATTTGAACGGATCTATAACTTTCGAGTTACTCGTAAATATTCGAATTGCTCGAATTACACGGAACAGATAAAAGAAGAAAATTTTATTCGACACTATGAATAAAACACTTTGAATACAAAAAGTATCTTCTATTCGTCGGATAATTCTCAACGAATAAATTTATTCATTCGACACTCGTCGAAAAATTATACTTATTTTAATCCGAACTTCGAATAACAAACAAAATTAGTCTATTTTTTATTCGTTATTCCAAATTTTTATTTAGATAAAAATTTTGCCTGTACAAAATTATTATCTGATTACGTAGAGGAAGTATGTTTTCTTCTTGATAACATGAAAATAAATCAGAAGCATTAAATTAGACTCTTATATTTTTCTTCCTTACAGTTAGATTAGTATTCGATAGTAAATAGCCAAATATTCGAGTAATTCGAGTAATTCGAGTATTTACGAGTAACTCGGAAGTTAAAAATCTGTTGGAATGTATCGAGTAATTCAACAATTTTCGAGTTGAAAATTCATTATTAAGTAAATCGAAGTCTTACAAGCGCTCGAATATTTGAACCGTTTCAGTTTTTAAAGTACCTCGCACTTTTTTCGAACAGTTCGTCGATTTCAAGTAGCTTGAAGAACTCGAACGCTCGGTTTGGCTCGACCGATCGATCATTATTTGACTCGAAATTCGAGTACTTGCACACCTGTAGATCGAACATGGGAACTGAGGCATTGAGAATTGCTTGTAACGTAAAACGATCTTTGTCGATTTGTGCATTATTCTGTTCTCACTGTCGAGGCTTTCGGGTGTAAGCCGTGTCCTTGTAGAATTGTTATCCCAACGTTTCGCAACCATTGCATCTAGCTTTATCAGGAGGTCGAAGTATCAGTGTGTCTTTCGACCCCCTGATGAAGCTAGATGCAATGCTTGCGAAACGTTGGGAAAACAATTCCACAAGGACACTGCTTACACCCGAAAGCCTCAACAGCAGGGCTTAAAAACTGTTATGATATCAATTTAGGTTCCCGAAACGGTTATGAAGAACCTTTATTCTGAATAACTGTTAGGAAGAACTTAAATTTCAGATTATATCAGTTTCAGTTAAGGTTCTTATATCAGCTCCAATATCAGTTCTATAACTGTTATTATTTAGGTTCTATATAAGTTCCAAAACGGTTATTGAACATATCTACGTAATGATTGTACAGAAGTATATAGTAAACGAAATGACAACACATTACAGCTATAGGTTACCATGTATTAGCACAATTTTTTTTAAATTATTATGAATAAGTAAGTAAATATATATGTACACATTTGTACACATACAATTATTTTGTAACATGAAAAGTGTTCGTTAATATAAATTTTTAAGTGCTTAACAAAATTTTACCACACTGACTTTGCAAAAGATATGCTTATATGTGTACAGTAATCTATGTATGAGTAATATGTTGTGATTTCATTTGCTTTAAAATTCTGTATAATCGCTACGAGAATCGGTTCATAACTGTTTTAGAACTTACCTATACAGGGTGAACCACGAATCGTGATCAGTAGAGATTACTCGGTTATTACCGGTCCGATCGAAATTTTTTTTACCAGGTATAGCATGGTTTCAAGAGAGCTTTAACGTGATTATAGCAAATTTTTTGTCAACTCTGTTTTTTCATGATTTTTCACGGTCACCTTCAATTTTTTGCAAATACACCTATAATTTTTGTACGCCTATCTGTTAGAGGATTTCAAGACGAATTCGGTAAGTATCATAACATAACATGTGTTACTTTTTTTTTCATCTGAGTCGAGGAAAAATTAAAGAAATATTCGAACTGTAATATTGCAGAGAGTATCGTATGCTACGCCATTGTACGCGTTCCGATGTTGAGCTCTTGCCTACTGTTTGTAAACATTTCGTTCTGTACTAGAAAACTGATATGGGAGCTGATATAAGAACTATAACTGAAACTGATATAGTCTGAATTTTCGGTTCTTCATAATAGTTATTGAGAATAAAGATTCTTCATAATTGTTTCAGTCGGAATCTTTATAATAACAGTTTGAAACAGTTATTTTCGGAACCGTTTCAAGCCCTGCTCAACAGTGAGAACTGTATGATGCCAGGTCGTGAAAGCCTCAAATCTCCGATTGTGCATTATTGTTTGCTCATGAGATAATCCTTTGCACTCCTCCTTTCACTTCTCACTTTAACTCTTGTGTAGGCAACCTAACCCATTTCTAAATTTCCTTTTAGAATTTCGTATTATCTTGTCTAAAACAGCACCTGGTATATTATAGGAAGGAAAAGCTAAGAGTTTCGGAAAAGTATCAAAGTAAAATTATCTATGTTTATCTAATCTGTCAGAATAGAAGTATTCCGATTGCTAAATAACCGTAAATATTTTGGTTGTCCACATGAGGGTTAATAGGGTTTTATGTATACAGCATGAGAAAAAGGGGACCTAACTTCTAGAATAGATAGTATTCACCAGATGAAAAGTTAATATTTTCAATATTATAAAAAATTTGTTGTAATGAGAAATCATTACAAATCGTCTCTATTCGAATATAATTCTACCCATCTCTGTTCGTGACATCACCCGAGTAGATCAGAGTGCACAGGATTATCATCTGCACAGAGCACGTGACACTCGATGTCCAAGTTTGTACATTTTCCACTTCACTCTGGCTTACCCATGAATTCGTTTCACCGCAGTTCTATGTATGATGGAACTATCGTCTCTCTGTTCTTCACACGAAGGATCCTCTGGTCCGTCAGCTACCTAGAGAAGAGGAATGCTCCTGCTGAGATTTGTACATGGGGGAGTGACAGGACTCCCCTACCGTGGCCGTGGCGACGCGCGCGTACCTCAGCAACAGATCGCTAAGACGATCCGCTACGATTACGGCAGTATCGGTAGCGACACGTGTCGCGGAATCCTCGTCGCATCACTGGATACGGGACGAGGAATACTCCCGTCGTGTGCATTCCGAGGAGACGCTTTTATAAGTGTTGACACACACATCGTGTAACAGAGAAATAACGAACGATAAATTATAGCGACTCGTTTGTTTGCTTCTTGTTTTTTTTTCTTCTTATTTTTCGTTTCCTATGGAACGGTACTTTCGTCCATACGAGAGGGAAGAGTTTAATTGCGTTTATTCAACGGACGGACACACGATCTGCGTATAAACGCGTACTATAATCGTTAGATCAATCTGTCGTTAGTAGGTATCGCGTCTAGTGAGGGGTCCGTGAACAAATGGTCATCAAACGTCTTTAGACGTTTCCAAATGCAAGGTTTTTTTGAACAGTTTGAACAGTGTTCGGTGGTAGTGTGAAATGTTTGAACTGTTTGCACGGTTTGGACTGTTGGAACTGCTTGAAAAACGTTTGAACTGTTTGAACTGCTTGAGAAACGTTGGAACGGTTTGAAAGTTTGAACTGCTTTAGAAACGTTTGAACTGTTTGAAAAACATTTGAACTATTGAAAGTATTTGCACCGTTTAAACTCTTTTAATTAATTGAACTGTTTGAACTGCATGAACTGTTTAAACTATTTGAAGTGTCGAAAATGCGTAAAATGTTTGAACTGTTTGCACGGTTTGAACTGTTTGAACTGTTGGAAAAACGTTTGAACAGTTTGAACTGCTTGAACTGTTTAAACTCTTTCAAGTGTTGGAAATGCGTGAACTGTTTGAACGTTTCATTATTAGTTCGAGTGCGTTTGACCAGTTCGATTACCCCCTATCACTAGACCACGCCGACGAGTTACGATCCATCACCAGACGGTACAAGACATTGCAATAAACGTCCGTTATTAAATTCAACTAAATCCCTTTTCTCAGCACGCGGGTAAAACACATACAAACACGTATGTACTCGCGAAGTGATAGGTACCTCTGCGTACACGTCAGGTTATTGTTAATGGTGTCCGATATGAGAACACAGTACGAGAAAGGAATAAAACGTTTTACCGACACATGTGTAGCACAAAGTTCGTAATAATGAACTACGAATACATTCCATTGTAATTCCAGATATAAATATATATGTATATATATATATATATATATATATATATATATATATGTATATATATAAGATGATAAATTATCAAGAGAATTATACGTAGATTATATATATAGCTGTTACGAGTTTATCGATGTTCCTCCTGCAGAAGGATAACAGGTGAAACGAAGATGTTCTCCTTGTCCTTAAGTATGCAGGATGAATCGTCAGGGTCGCGAGCCGTAATGTGTGAAACAATTCTTTTTAAAAAAAACAAGGTTCCAAGCGACGTTACTCAATGTATGATATATTTATAAAAGAGATTTAAAGAGTGTGTGTGTGTGTATGTGCGTGTGTGTGTGCGTGTGTGTGTTTGTGAGGTAGAGAAAGAAAGAGCGAGAGACAATACGCTATACACAAGACTTAATTTACACCAAAGGATAAAAGAGAAGAAATGAAAAAATACACGTCCGCGACGTTCTTTCTACACATGCCTGTAAAACCTTTGTATTACCCATTATACATACGTCTATCAGAGTATGTTCTAGGAAAGATGGCTCGGTTCGAATCGCGTTCATCCTCGATCCGTTCATGATTATTATTAACCGGACAACGACCGTAATGAATCTCAGCGATGTATGTAATTAAGAAATGTATTAACGGCGTGACCGATCGATCTACGGATCGTGTCCGATTCCTGTTTGTTGTTCTCGCCTGTGAAAAAAAACCAAAGACTACCTGAACACTTGACGGCGTGAGAGGAGACATTAAATAAGGTATTCTCGCCTACCTCGTTGACTCGTTTAGCAGTCGTGACGGAAATCGATTGGACTGTCCGTAACGATGGGTCCGTGAACTTAACGGTCCAAACGTGTTTGAACGTTTTCGAACTAAAGACGTTCAAACGGTGTTTGAACATTATCCAACGAAAGACGTTCAAACGGTATTTGAACATTCTCAAACGGAAGACGTTCAAACGGTGTTTGGACACTTTCAAACGATAGACGTTCAAACGGTATTTGCACACTATCAAACGAAAGACGTTCAAACGGTGTTTGGACACTTTCAAACGCAACACGTTCAAACGGTGTTTGGACATTCTCAAATGGGGGACGTTCAAACGGTGTTTGGATACTTTCAAACGCAAGACATTCAAACGGTGTTTGGACATTCTCAAATGGGGGACGTTCAAACGGTGTTTGGATACTTTCAAACGCAAGACGTTCAAACGGTGTTTGAACATTCTCAAATGGGGGACGTTCAAACGGTGTTTGGATACTTTCAAACGCAAGAGGTTCAAACGATGTTTGGATATTCTCAAATGGGGGACGTTCAAACGGTGTTTGGATACTTTCAAACAAAAGACGTTCAAACGGTGTTCGAACGTTTCGACGGTTTGAATTGTTTGAAATGCTAAAAATGATCGAAAAATCTTTGAACCATTTGAACATTTCGTCGGGAGCTTGAGCATGTTTGAACGGTTTGATTATCCATCGCTAAACTTGTCCGTGTTTGTAACATCGATCTCATTGTATACGATCTACGTAGCGAGAAACAATGAAAACCGTTGGGCAGACAGACTTTCGACGAGACATAAAAAAGAAAAAAATAACGAAACGAAAAGAGAGAGCACTGGTCCTTTTTTATTTTTCTTACAACGACGACGTACTTTACGTACGCGCAGCGTATGAAAGTCAACCACCATATATGTATCTGTACGTGAAACGTAATAAAGACATGTTTGTGGAAAAATACAACGTACGCATGTGTGTTCGATCATTCTCGATAGATCTGAAGTATCCTTGGAACGGTGGATTTAATACTCGATTTGATCTGACGGAAACATAAATTGACGCGTTCGCGTAGTATCCATTTGTCTTTCGATTTGTTGCTTAATTGTTTAATGAGTAGATCGCGTGGATATGTCCGTTCGAGCGTTATATAACGAAGTATCATACATATTATTGATTTCGTTTGAAGAAGAGCTTTGTAAGCGAAGGCAGCGATGTTTTTCTGGAATCGAATCTGTCTTTGCTGTTTCATGAAATATAATGGTTTTGTTTCCTTTTTTGTCTGGCGACTTAAAGTAGCGATGTAATGACTTAATGTGACAGTGATATTATGTGGATATAATAGTAAAATACTAAATTTCATATGAGAGTTTGATTACATGATTATAAAATTTTCGGCTTAGCTTCGAAGGAGAAGAATAGTAGCTTTTGAACGTGTTGTTTGTTAATGGATTCTTTAATTAATTAGAAAGAAGAGGTGGCATGCTAATATTTTTCATTAATGAAATACTAATAGTATTGTCATCGACAGTTTGTTTGCAGTTTTGCATTCAGAACAGAAGTACATTACATTGAATCGTTCAGTTCAATTTGGGGTTTCTTTGATGTTGCAATTTTCATCCACATCGGTCTGAATGAATTTCTTAATATAATTTGAATTTAAAAGAAAATATTACATGTAAAGAGAAATACAGGTATTCTGTTTTACCACCTTTAGGTACCAATATACTTTCGTATAAAAATTCATATTGTTGTATTTACAATAATTATAATAATCACATAAATGCTATCATATTATGTAATTATTAGATACATAATTTCAAATTTCTCATTATTCAAAATATATAGAAATTATTGTTCAATATTCGTTAATCGAAAGTTACTACTAAACACGATAACAGATAAACAATGATAAAATAAAGAAGTAAAGCATTTCTTATGTCCATTTTTCACCTATATAGTAAGATCTCAGTTCTCTTATTTTTCTTCTTCTTTTGTGATAACAAGTTTCATATAAACAGTATAGTCGAATATTAAGAACATCGACATAATTTATATATCACTTATCGATCATAAGCAAAGACGAGTAAATTCATTGTCAAGAAAAAAAATGTCCAATAACGAATAAAAGATGAAAAACCGTTTCACCATTTTCAATTGATTAAACGTGGCAATTCCAATTCTCATAATAACATAATATTTCTTCTTGAATAAGTAGACATTTAGCAAACAATTTTTCAATCTCATTAACTGTTTAAAGATCGAAATGACAATCTTAGACACTGTTGCATTTCACTACGTATTATTCGACTAAAGTTTCGCTCATCACTGATTATTATAAGTTACACAAGGTTATCCTTATTTAACGGTACGTACTTACAAAATGCCAGTGAGACAATGCTTTGAATCATTTTCGTGGGCCATCCGTTCTAGTGACAGACGTGTTGGCCGCTCGCAAACGCTGCGAACAATACAGCCATCCGAAAACTATAGACAAGCGTGAACGAGGAAACCTTTCCGACAAGGCAGAGAAAACGGTGGCAACGATGGAACGAAGAAGGGGTACGGACGACAATTCGAGTGTAGTTTTCGGCGAACAGTACGTTTGTGCCGCCCTTTCGGGAATCTTGGGGCCTACCGTGTGGTTCCGCACGCTCGTGGCTATATTTACCAAAGTATCTTGATTAGGGAGATGTCGAATTACTCCTACTATTACGTGAAAACCATCGTTGACGGCACCGACACCCCGAAAACATACAAATTCTTGAAAGGGTAAGTTGTTTATCCTTGATCACTATTTGGCATGAAGAATATTGAATCTAGACAATTCTTTTGATAACGCTCCTATTTGACAACTAAAGAACGATTATTAAGCTAACTCGACAGTCACATTCAGTCACAAATCTGATCATGACGTGTGTTTAGTATAAACTACGTTTTATTCATCTTTGTCGTAACATGAAACATCACTTGGTTAACAGATTAATGATTTAGTAACAAAGAAAG